GGTTGACCCTGTCGAAGCTCCTTGTTGGTGGTTTGCCCGTGCTTCCCGTCGCTGCTGATGTGTGTCGTCAATGACGCACAGGGAGTGCAGTGCACGTTTACAGTGGGGGCTTGTTCGACCCCTATGTAGCGATCAACACCCGTGCTCGGCGTCTCACCGTCTGACCTGAGCCACTCGCCCTTCGCTTCCTACCGGTCCTTTCGTCGCCTCTCACCACACAACAAACGACACCTCCACCGCGTCCAACACCGTCGCCATCGCACCGATACCACCGCCACAATCACCACCGTCATATCACCACCAACATCAACACCAACACCACCAATGCCACCACCACCATCGTCGACGACGTTTCAACAATAACCACCGCCGGCGTTACAGCGAGGGCCTGTCGGGCATCACGACCTCGTGGGACCAGGCATGCGACGGAATCGTCCCAACCACTACCATTACCTCCTCCCCCCCCTCCTCCTCTAGCTTCAGCACTACAATGACCAGCAGCAGTAGCAGTAGCAGCAGCAGCAGCAGCAGCGGCAGCAGCAGCAGCGGCACCGGAGATGGGTCCGCCTCGAACGAGAGTGGTGACGACGACGACGACGACGACGACGGTTCTGGCTTCGTCACACCGCTGTCCGAAGACGATGATGGCGGTGAGGAGGCACAGGACAGCGATGACGACGACTTCCGTGTCTCCGCTGACGCGGATTCCGACGACGACGACAACAACGAAATACATGATGATAACGTCTACTACTACCCCTACAGCGAGGAAGAAGAGGAGCTCGACAGCGACGTTGATGACGACGACGACGACGACGACGACGACTTCCGCGCTTCCTCCGACTCTGACGAAGGCAGCAGCAGCCGGAGCAGGTCTCACAGGCGGGAAGACGACGATGAGGAAGCAGCCACCGCTACCACCGACGACGACGACGACGCTGACGACTATGGCGACGACAACGGTGACCAATTCGACAGCGACGACGAGTCGGAGCGGCGAGATCGCCGCCGCTTGAGGGGCGGTGCTGGCCGGGCCTCATAGGCGGGGCTGGGACTCATGGACGGTGGCGGCCGCAGAGGTGCGGTCTTGCCTCGGGTCGTGCAGACGGCGGCGATACAACAACCTCAGTCAACAGGTAGCTCTGACGGTCGGAGAGTTTCGTGGGCATCGCGAAACCCGCCGCCAACTGAGCCGTGTGGATATTGCTAGAATGAATGAGGCAAGAGCTTGGACCCAGGGCGATTTGCTTTGTCAAGGTGGCTCGAGCGATGCGTCGAACGGGGCGCTGCCAATATTCCAACGCAGCCGGGACAAAAAAATTGAATCCTGGGGGCAGTGATGGAGCTACAATTAGGAGGAGGGTAGGGGGTGGGGGGGGGCACAACGTGATTTTTTTTTTAATTTGTTTTGCGGGGGACAACAATGTCGCTTTTGTTGTTTTTCATTTGCTTTCTGGGGGGGGTGTCCCCGCTACTATGAGGTCCACAGTCATGGATAGAGTCTTTCCGCCACGCTTCGAAAGCGCTCTACACTTTCTCACACTGTTTGAGCTTTTACCCCTCTGCGACCGCTCTAGATTTTGTGATAATTTTTTCCGGTGGTCTCCCATTTGGCAACACGGTAGCATATAGAAGAAGGTAAATTTTGAATTTCAGGCTCGACCTCGCGATTTTCCTGTTCCAAGAGAGACATGTGTGACACACTTCACCCATTAAATGCGGGAACGCAAGTGCATCGATTTGTTGATTTGCCAGTACATACTAACCGTGGTGCTCGTTGGGTAATGTTGACTATTCGACCGGCAGGGTCCCCGAGAGCGATTGGTTGTGAGTGTCGTCAAGGTACTCCGTGTGTTGAAGTGCGCTTGATGGACCCTTGTTCAGTGGTCAGATGCAGGCCGAGGCTATAGAAATCGTGCTTATGCTTCTGCGAGATCCATGCAGTAGCCATGTGTGTGGGGCATGTTGCGTATACCCGGGGAGGGAGGAGGGGGGGGGTGTTCCGTAGTAGGTGGTAAGAGAGTAACGGCGAGAATAGGGATGCGCGCGCGGGGAGGTTGTTGGACGTTGCTTTTTTCGTGGACTGGTTCATGTAGTGTTGTATAACGCCGTAGTTTCACTTGATAAGCTAATCGTTCGTCTTGCTCATCAAAGTTGTGTGGGCTGTTGGTTGGTCTTTAAATACGAGAGTGTTTTTGATGGCATGTGTTTGTTCCGCGCCGATGCGGCGGGATTTATTTGTGATCGCTGTGGTGAGGACGTTTGGTTGTTGTGGTAAGATCGTGTGAGGTTTGACGTGTGGGGTTATCAACTCTCGGTCGTCAAATATCTCGAACATCGTTCTACTACAGTGAGCTTTGCGCTTGCACACGCGCACACAGGCGCGCAGCGTGCAGTCCTGGTGTCTATACTTCCTTACCCTGTTTTCACTCGGGTGTCGTGTGGGTGTGTTGTAATGAGAGGGAAATGGGTACTTCGGACGGTCACGGTTTCACTCATGAGCGGAAAAGCAGAAACCCTGCTACTACTACTGCATGCAGTTACACATGCATACATTGTAGATGTGGAAGGAAACCATTTGCCCCTAGCGTAGCGTGCTGTGTGAGACCGTCGTTTGTAAAGAATTGAAAAAGAAGCGCAGTCCTATAGCTATAACAGACGCGCCTGTCAGACGGTCAGGGGGGTTTCAAGACTTGGGACCATCGATTTTGTTGAGCAGACCATGCTACTGGTGATGGTGTCGTCGAGTGTGCGCTAGAAGTCCGCCGCCGCTGAAAGATAATGCATGGTGGAAATTTTGTGCTGGATAGGGATGGATGGCTTGTCGGGAACATAGTGAGTTGTGGTAGTATTGGAGTGAACGAACGGCAGTAGGAATGGATATCATGACCAACAACGTGCTACAGCAATAGTGCCGTCAAAACGGAGTCGTAGTATGTATCTATCCCTTGATCCAGGGGAACAAGAGACAGTCATGCAGGCCTGCACATGGCGAGGTTTTGTCATCTTCCCCTTGTCATTCTATCACAGAAAAGTCGTAGTCTACATAATGTAAGACTTTTATTGTGGCTGGAAACGTGTGTGTGTGCCGTTGTCACGGTGTTTGTTCCCTTCTCTGTTGCTTTTGCTGTGATGTGTTTTGTTAGATATCGTCGCTGTTGTTCGTGGCGCTGCTCCACGTCGCTCGGCGGTGTGACTTGGCGCTCATTGGTCCGCGGGTGTGAAACAAACCATAGAACGCAGCGTACCAGTCCACTTAGACAAGCACTTCACTTGGCTTGCTGATGTCCAAAGTATGTAGGACTGAAACTCGTCGTCCTTGTTGTAGATGCGTGTAACATCGATCCGCTGTATGGTGGGTTGATTCTGTGCAGCTAGCTGCTGTTTCGTTGTTGAGTGGCTGAAAATTGTGAGCAGACATGGAGTAGGCTACCCATCCGTCCTGCATGCGATTTCTGCGTCAAGTTGGTTGCAATAGGCGGACGACAAAGTGAAAGTAGAAATCCCGTCAGCCGTACGTAGGTAGTAGGTTGTGAGTTTTGGGTACGCACGTGCATGTAGACTATGTGTTGCCAAGGCTGATTGCTATCATCGCGGCTCTGGAATGATTGGCACATACGGGTGCGACAGATGTGAATGTTTTGCCCGTGCTGTACTAAATGTATAGTCTACGCACGCCCGTGTACTGAAGATGGATATAGATGTGACGATGCATTATTGTCGCCCATCACACCGAACCAACATAATCCAATGACCCTAATGTAAAGTAACATATTTTCGTATAATGCAGGCGTGCACGAACATGTGCGCGGGATAATAATCTGACGCGGTTGGTGCCGCCACACGGATGCTGAGACTCATGTATTTTCCCGAATTGTTCGGTTTTCTGGCGTATTGACAGCTTAAAGGTAGATCAGAATCCCAGCCCCGCTCTCTCTCGTGCTCTCCGAGTGGGCGCTGCGCGGCCCTGTGGTCTAAGAAGGCTTAAACAAAAGAGATCAAACGAAAACTAGCTGAGCATAGCTAATCGGAGCAGCCGTCCGTCTCCTTTCAACTACTGTAGTTGTTATGTTTTTCATACATGCTTTGGGACTTTCTTCCTTAGACTACACTCGCAGCCTGCTAAGGGCCAGGTCATGGGTTCGAGTCCCGACAGAGCGAGTTTTCTCCCGCTAATTAAATCCTGGTCTCCGTTGGAAGCGACGCGCTGCAACGCTCGTTGTTAGTACACTTGACCGACTTCATAAGTCGCGAGGGAAAGGATTGCTGTACCCTTCTCGCGATGAAAATATCTCAGGCAGGAACCGCAGGAGGGGGTCCAACCCCCCCCTCTTCNAAATCCTGGTCTCCGTTGGAAGCGACGCGCTGCAACGCTCGTTGTTAGTACACTTGACCGACTTCATAAGTCGCGAGGGAAAGGATTGCTGTACCCTTCTCGCGATGAAAATATCTCAGGCAGGAACCGCAGGAGGGGGTCCAACCCCCCCCTCTTCTTTGACCCCGGTTGGGTCGTCTAGCTGGTAGAAGTGGAGGATAGGGGCCAGAGGGGCAGACGACAGTGTCCAATGATGGGAGAAAAACAAACAAACAAAACAAAACTTGGCCACAGAGTATCGGTGACGACGGAAAGGAAACCCTGGAGCATTCCGCAGGATGTGAGTGTGACGAGAGAGAAAAATACGCGAAAAACCTGTGTGATGGGTAGAACATAGCCGTGTTAGCGCTGGCTAGCGGAGTCGCGGAGGTCGCCCTCCTCGGAATGAAGGTATGAAAGAAGGCAACGCAATGCTGTGCAGAGAGAGGTGGGGCTGTTTCCCACGTAGGATTTGAATACTCACGCGGTGACTGCGTAACCACACACATCCATCATTGCACAGACTGCAGTCGAGGACGCGCTGTTGTCATGAGAAGGAGTAACTTCGCTGTCGACAGCTAGTTGCTTGCACGGTCTACACTGCTAGACTACACATTTGTTTTGCGTGGTTCCCCCGCCGCTTGGGCCGCCTGGCAAAGCAGGGAGTGCACCCACAGCGGCAGCAGCAAGCCCCACAAAACCGCACGGGCGCTAGAAAGCAAATGGAATAATATTGATTGTGACCGGCGAGAGCATGGACGATACATATTAGACTATATGGATACATACGCAGTAGGATAGCTGTGGGTGTTTGTGTGTTGTCTGTGTGTATGACATCGCCACATTGTCGAAAAATGAAAAATCCCAAAAAATTCGGGGTGGAGAATCGGAAGCGTTATTTGTTCCTCCGCCGTTGCTGCTGCTCCTGACGTCCAGTAACACTGTACAAAAGTGTGGTGTTCTGGGCCCGCTCAACTAGGATGATACATGTGGAGGAATTGTCTGCATGGCGGATGGAAGCAATGAGGCCTCCCTCTCTCGACTGCTGCTGTGTAGCATATTCTACTGCAAGGCAACAAGAGGGCGCCCTCAGCATGTTTGTTCGTCTCTGGCATCACCATCAGACATCAGAGCCGTTACAGAGGTTGGTTGTGGGTTGTGAGTGCGTGCGCGTGCGCACTCAGTTTTTTTTTCACCAATTCACCGCAAACGAAGATGTGTGTCTCCAAACCACACGCATGTGTAAAGTCCAACCCTCCAATATAACGCACTCTCTGGTAGACTACACATAGACGCATATACTCGCCCACACGAATGTAGAGTGCGTCATCAGCCCTGATGTCGAGGCTACTGTACCGACAATCGACGGGGGGGAATCATGTGTTTTGCTCTGCTGACAGTAGTAGTGACTCTAACACCAGCAAACAGATATACCACTCGGTGTCGACATCTGTCGTATCAACCAACTATCATCAACCAACCGCTGACGTCAACCACGAACATTCAACAAACCGTTGCAAACCGGTGTAGTTATCGTGCCCAGCGTTTTTTTCGGGAATTAATTGTGGTTCACCGACTTTCGCTCTGGCGAGAAGATTTACCGGAACAAAACTGACAGCAGTCCCGCCGCAGCCCACAACACTTCGTCAAATATAGACTAGACTAAACATCCTTCCGTTCCACAAACACACCCGTCCTTGCGCACCACCACACTATACACACACTCTCCCCTCCTCCCCCCCTTCTCACCAGCACTCTCTTGCGCACCGCCACTACCATACCCAGCGCACGAGAGGCCACTTGTTGCCTGTACAGCTTTCTGCTGCTGCTGCTTCCCCCTGCTGCGCTGCCATTGGTACAAGAAAATTTTTGTTGGAACGACGACACCACCCATGGCGTGCTGCCACAGCGAGAAGACCAACTCCAGCAGCCTTCCCGCCCCGCGGCTACTACGCAGTGCAATTCTTCTTCTGCTACTGCTTCTCTCGCCTTCGGCATTCGCGGTCACGTATAACGTTAGCGCTGATGGCGACGGGTTCGATCTTTATGAAGCGATGGACCTGGCGCAGGCCGGGGACACGGTGAACCTCCAAAACGGCACCTACGACAGCGCCCTGGTTTCAGTCAGGGACGGCGAGTTCGGCAGTCCGATCACCGTGGCCGGCGGGCCCGGGGCCATCATCAAGGGGTCCTCCAGCAGCCGCTCCGTGTTCATCGCACACAGCTTCATCACGCTCAAGGTGTGTGAGAGGGTGGGATAGATACTACAGATAGGCGTGTAGGGTTGGATCCAAGGTGTGCGGCTGTCTGAACGGTTGGATCTTTCTTTGCATGATGATGAGCACCGTCGCATGAGTCCCGAAGCTGTCTGGTTGCTACTCCTGCTGCTCGCAGTTGAAATGGCGCAAGAAGGAGCGAATGAAACATTGCTCGATGCACCATTTGCGTCATTTCCTGCTACAATACACGGGAGATAGTGTGTGGCTGCTGGAAACACCGTGGGCGACCGCACGTACGTTTTGTGCCGCCAGAGTGTGTCGGTTGAGATCCACGCATATGCATGACGAAATTTCTCACCGAGTTCGACATGTACAGCAGTAGATGCGCTGTTGCACCAAATGTCTTCGGAATATTGGTTAATGCCGATGGGCCGTCATTGCGCTTCGGTGGTCCTGCCGCGCAGAGAGGCTCGAAACTGCTCCACCGCGTGCAGCTGCCAGAAACTACCCAAGGTGCTAAGCACGGGCCTGCAAGTACGGCAACAGCATGGACTGCACCAATAAACTATTGTTGTAGCAGGGCCGGCCTATCCGATGACAAGAATGATTGCCGTTAAACCGTTACAATTATCTAAGTATAAAAGTAGATACCCGCTCTCGCCCGATCCCCTCACGCTCTGGATTGTGTGACTGCGATGAGAGAAAAATCATTTTTCGTCGGGCTGCCGGCCGCTCGCTACATGTGTTTCCTGGGCGCTCTTGTACAATGTCCTGTAATAGCAGCAGCGTGTGCGCGTCCAGAGCAGCGTAGTAACAGTAAGGTCTTTTGCTGTAGTGTCGATCGCCACATTACGCTTTTGTTTCCTCATCCC